TCGGGAGGCTGAGGCAGGAGAATTGCCTGAACCCGGGAGGCGGAGGTTGCGGTGAGCCGAGATCGCGCCATTGCACTCCAGCCTGGGTAACAAGAGTGAAACTCCGTCTCAAAAAAAAAAAAAAGAGTCTCGCTTCATCACCCAGGCTGGAGTGTAGTGACACAGCTCACTGTAACCTCTGCTTCCCAGGTTCAAGTGATTCTTGTGCCTCCCTCAGCCTCCCGAGTAGCTGGGACTACAGGCATGTGCCACCACGCCCAACTAATTTTTGTATTTTTAGTAGAAACAGGGTTTCACCATGCAGGCTTGAACTCCTGAACTCATGTGATCCACCTGCCTCGGCCTCCCGAAGTGCTGGGATTACAGGTGTTAGCCACCACACCCAGCCAAGAGAGAAAGAATACTACTGAAGAAAAATAATCATTTAAAACTTAAGGAAAAAAATAATGTTTACAATAATAAGAACTATCAGTCCAACTACAAACAGAATTACCTAACATCGCACTTGAAAATTTTTACTAGACTCCAGTTAGGCTATACTTCCTACCACTCTAAACTCAGAAGGTACAATGACTCCAATACTGTTTTTGTTCATGTACCGTTCCCTTTAATATCTCACCTACAGATAACACACCAACTTTTGCCTGAATAATACATACAGAGCTCTGGCCCACAGCTGCAACCCTCAGAGTTGGAGTTTGCACACTGTCTTTCAATGATACAGATTGTCACAGGGAGACAGTGTACATGCCAAGTTAATTGAAGATGGATAATACTTCTAGTGAAGACAATGTCCTGTGAGAGTAAACAAGGATACTGAAATGAGAGTCACTAAGAGTGAACACATTTAACATACTCACTTCATGGCAGTAAGAGAAAATGAAATTTCAAGGATTTAAGGATGGAAAGAGCATTTAATAACATAAATGTTAGGGTTTCTGTATCCTTCTTTAGTGTTGCATACATTAAACAATGGCACACAAATTAGTGAAAACAAATTTTTAAATTAATTTAGATTTATAAGAATTAGACTGAAAATGTCTGGAACTTACATGTATGATGAAGTCTGAGTTTGTCTATCATTACAAACAATAGCCACAGTGCTGAAAAGAAAATATGAGTCACAATTCAAAAACAACGGAAGAAAGAAAAAATTGAACAGAGAAAAGCTTTAAATCCAAATACCACAGAGAAATTTCGTTACTTAAAATGTTGTCAATGACAGCCACCACTCTGACTTGGAGTAAGAAAGGTCCACACTGTCCTCAACATGGGAACAAACTCATCCAGCCTCACATAACTCTTCCAGTTGCATCCACCTCAATGTTCGGCCACCAATACAGTCAGCCACATTCCCTAGCAAGCAACAGGAATCCTAACAGATCTGAGTCACCCACTCCCACGCAGTAAGAGGTCATTCTCCATCAGGAAGCCCACTCTGCAAAGTTTCCTTGTTCATCTCCTCAGGCTGCCACCACCATGGCCCACATAAAGCTGATTCTCCAATCTCAGTCGACTATCAACTCTCCTCTACACTCCCCAAACCACAACTCCCACCGGCCTCACCCTAACGAAAAGACAGCTAGCGCTACTCACCGTGTGTCACTACTCACTCCTGTGGTAAGTTCCTTGTCTGAGAACCACTCCTCGTCAAGGTGCATCAGAGCCCCGGAGGATCCAGCTCTCTGCTTAACTCTCCTGTGCCCAGCAGAGCTCCTGCCTTTCCAGGAACTAATCACCAGTTACCTCAGAGAAGCTAAACTCTCAATGCCTCTTCTACCCCAGCCCGACCCCTATGTGCCAAATTCCCAGACCTCAGGAAAGTGGGTCGGGGAGACGCAATCCAGATTCGCTTTAGGGATTAGACACATAGAGGCCCCTAAAAATCCAAATGCTTCCCCTACCCTACACCGCGCTCTGGTCATCCACCCGGCCGACAGCATCCAGCGCCATGAACGCACAGAGACCACAGTTAAGTCCCCGTGTCCCTATGACTCCCTTCCCCGGCTACGAAATCCTCAAATATCAAGCCACTGAGGCCCCAGGTCGAGGCCCAAGACCCCCGCCAAGCCTCCGGCCACTGGAGTTTCCCGGTTGGACTCCGTGCCCCGAAGGCCCAGGCCGCTAGGTCCATCTAACTGCCCAGAGCCACTGCATGCCAGGAGCCCAGGCCGCGTCCCCAGTCGGTCCCCATTGTTGCGGGACCCTGCGGCCCTGGCCGGGAGCGAGGGACCGGCACCGGCTCTCACCTCCTGCGCCGCGACGCCGGACCGCGCCGGGCCGAGGAACCTCACGTTCCGCTGCGCCCGCCAAGGCAGAGTCTGCGGCGGCGGGGGCGGGGGCGGCGGCTGAGGCGGGAAGCAGCCGGCCAGGCCCGGGCGCCGCGAGCTGGCTCTGGCCAAGCGTCGGTCTCCACCGGCGGCGGCGCTCGCCAGCCTCCGCTCGCGGTCCGCGCCAGAAAGTGTCCCCCTCCCGGCCCGCGCGCCCGACCGCACGGACGGGAACAAGCGCCGCCGAGAGGAAAGTTCCGCTGAGAGCCGACTAAAGGCCGTTCCGCTACGCGGGGTGTAAGCCGATTCCAGCCTGGATAGGACCGTTTCTGGAGTGAATGCCGCATGGGAATCCCAAGCCAGAGGCTGCCTGAGAGTGGTTCTACGGGTGGGTCCAACGGAATGGTTTTGCAACTCGCCAGCCATTTAGCGTCTCAGTTGAGCCTCAGCTTCTCCTCATTTCTCATTGGGAATAATCTAGGCGGTTTGTTAGGATTGAATGAAGTGATGCAAATACCTAGCGCAGAGATAGGGAGCTCTACACTGGGGTACGATCGTTACTGATGCTGCCAAGGCTACTACTGTTGCCTCCAACTTAGGTTGTGCTCAGTCCTCAAGGACCCCTGATATTATGCGCACCCTGTAGCTCTTCCTTTTCCACCCTTGGTCCTATTGGAAACCATCCCGTTTCCTGTTAACTGAAGCGGTCTTCGGAATTCTCTGGAAGAGGAGCAGAGGCAAAAGGGGGCTTTCTTGATTTTTGACACTCAAGTGGAGGTTAAGGATGCAGGTTCTCCTTTCTCAAGCTGGGAATTACCGCCATGTGGGCTCCAGTTACTGATGGGACTGTATCAGCTGTCTCCGCTATAGCCTCGGGTTCTCTTCTCCTCCTCCCAAGAAGTGAATATTGACAAAATGATTAATTAATTAATTAATTAATTACGAAAGTGTATCTTTTTTTGAAGGTTTTGTATTTTACTCATAAAATCAAGAGGATAACAATTCCTTTCTCGTCCCCACTTCCCTTTTCTTCTAGGCCTTCACACCTCTAAGACACCAGATGCAGTTATTTTTGGAGCAAACTGTCGATGGGAATTTATATCTGCAGAAGGTGTTTAAAACAAAAATCATAGTTTTCAGGTGTTCTCAAACTTCCCATTTTTACATATCCCCTTGGCTTCTGAGACACATATATGCCTGAATTTCCATTTATATTGTTATTATTATTGTTCAGAAAGTGATTTATTTACGTAAAGAAAGAGAAAAAGGAGGGCCGGGCGCGGTGGCTCACGCCTGTAATCCCAGCACTTTGGGAGGCC